TCCTGGCCTCCCAAGCGGGAGAAAGCCACCCCGCTGGCCGACCCCCTGAGGGGCCGCGGCTACGACGTGACAGTCGACGCGTTCATCGTGGGAGCCTTCGGAGCCTGGGACCCCAGCAACGAGAGCGTCCTGCGTGCCTGCCGCATCTCCCGCCGTTACGCCAAGCTCATGCACTGCCTCATGGTGTCCGACACCATCCGTTGGTCCCGTGACATCTACGTCAAACACATCATGGACTACCGCAAGTACACGGACCCCACCAGAAGAACAGCCGCCGGACCGGACCCAGAGGGGACCGCCTAAACCCCCCTGCTCTGCACCAGACGGACCTTCACTTCGAGAGGATTCTTCAGCAATGGACGACCCTGCTCCACCCGAAGAGGACCCCCACGATGAGACTGTACATGGACTGAGACACTTTTTCTTCAGACCACTTCTTCTACCACTGCGGACCATTGAAACGGGTTTGTGTGCATCTATCCTCTTTTTCTCTCAGCATCGTGAACCCCCTCCCTCCCCTTCCCCCCTCCCTCCTACCCCCGGGCTTAGTTGGCTAACATTGTATCTCCTGTAACCTAGTTGCCTTCCCCTCCTCACCCCCATCCTTCTATTGTTAGTCCCTCGCTCTGGCGCTATGTATTTCCCTACTGGCTTTGTCACCTTTTTTTTGGATTCACAATCCTAAACATTCACTAATAAAAGTCCATTTGTATTTCTGTAACACCTGGAGGCCCCTATCAGGGGTCAGTGCCCCATTGTACTGGGCACTGTGCAGAAGAGACTGTGTCTACCCCAACAGCTGAAATTCCAAGGCCCTGATTTGTAGGGAGAACCACATGGGTGAATGCTTCCCAACACAGAATTGGGACCCAAGTAGGTGAAAGTTAGGCATTATATTAAATGCAGATCAAGCCTGCAGCCAGAAGGGCTTGGTGAGATGCCCTTTAGAACTTATCACTGTAGCTCTTCTCCTGCTTCCTGTGATCATTCTTACCACATCACATACTGCCTCTCCGCTCTTTCATTCACTCCCAGTCTGAGAAGCAAGAAACAGGGGGTTGGAGAAGTTACCACTAGGTCACTGGTCTCAGTCACCTCAAATATGCTTTCTGCAGCAGTCCACTAAATTATGAAATTCATCTTTGCCTTATGAAGCCTCAAGATACTTCCCCATTTCTTCATCCTCAAGAAGCCTCAAGGTAGCAACTTTAGGGCATGAGATTGGGTGTGGCTGCCTCTGATTCCTACTGTGGCTGTCAGCACAATGAAAGGCTTTCCTTTCTCCTACAGACTGAGCATGGTCCCATGGTCCCTACAGCCCTTATGATCCTGGGAATGAGGGACATAAGCTAAAATAACTGAGATGAAATAAGGCTCCTTTGGAAAGACAGATGAGTCCTGTACATTCCAACACACTGCCCACCTGAGCCATCAGAGCAGATGGCCATGGAGGAATGGGAAAGTGCTTTAACCAGTAACACCTGTTGCAGGAGATTTGCTATCATTTTTTACACTGCAGTAACGTTCAGAGGCACCACTGCAGAAGTGTAACTCAAAATTTTGGCACCTTGGAGAGGGTAGGGAAATGGGGGTGCCAAGCACTTACCTCCTTACACAGGAGCCACTGAAGCCACAGACTCCCTGATAGCTGCCATTCTGTTGTCCCCTCTGAATCAGCACCCGGGGCTTGTGCCCTGCTCACCCATACCTACTTATGCTACTGCATCATTGTGCCTGGATTATTGTGCTGACTGTCATACCATAAATGAAAATCCCTGCTCCAATCAGCGCCTGCACTGTAATGCATGTAACTGGCTTGGGGGAGGGATAATCATCAGTTTCCTGTGTTGGCTGTGATAGAATAATCCAGGAGTGCACCAGTTTTTCTTTTGAAATGATAAATCAGTTGCCACAAGAAAAATAATCCTTGCAGAGGTTAGAAGAATGGTGTGAAAGGGAGTGTACTATGATTGATAAAGTGGGATTATTGCAGGTGAGAAGGTTTGGTTCGCTCAACTTGTCACTTTTAGGTCCTTGAATTCTCTGAAGTTAACATAGTCACCTTTTGGGATGTG